GATTACCCAAATACATTTTGTATTCATATTAAAAAAGCTTAATTACTATCACTGGCTATTTTATATAGTTTTAGATTTTAGATTAGCGTTAATTCCACGAAGTCCCTTATTTTTTTTTTTGACAATTCTAAATTTAGTCTTAGCCTATCGTTTTTGACATTTAACATTCCAGTATTATTTTTTGGACATTTTAGTCATTCTCATGACTTTTTCTATTTTTAGTAAAGGTATTTTTGTCTTTTCATATTGTTCTTTTGTTATTTTTTTTCTTTTCGATTTCAACCAGTTTAATTGGTTTAGAACTTAATTAACTAATCTTTGATTTTTATTAGTAACCATATTTTCAACCCGTTTTTAGTAAAGTCCTAAACCGATTAAACCGGTTGAAATTAGAAAAATAACAAAAGAAAAATATGAAGAGATAAAAATACCCTTACTAAAAATAGGAAAAGTCATGAGAAGGATTAAAAGTATCCAAAAAATAACAGTCTGGGATGTTAAATGACAAAAACAATAGTCTGGGAGTAAATTTGGAATTGCCACCAAAGACAAGGGACCTATGGTAGAATTAACTCTTTTAGATTATATATGATAGATTAAGCCTTTTTATAACCATGCCATCAAAATTTTTAAAACAATAATTAATAAGAAAATGCTTTGTTCCCCTCTAAAATTTTTCTCTTCTAAGAGCAATCACAATATAATAGTGGTTTTTGCTCACTTTTTAAAGAAGAATTAAAAAATTTAGAAATTGATTTTTATCTAACGAGAGATGAGAGTTTTTTGCTAGATTTTTCTCCTACAAATATAATTTTGGGTGGGATCTACTTTTGGGGGAAAAAGGAAAAAACTTGCGCAGATTGATGCGCACCCAGAAAGCGCGTGATGCCTTTAAATTTTTATTTTTATTTTATTTTCTGTTAAAATGTATTGTTTTTTTCTCTCCTTTTTTTCCTCTTCTAACTTGCTTCTATCTCCTACATGGTCTGCAAAAAACAAAAAAAAAAAAAAAAAAAAACTACAAAAATCTACAACTATTAAGGTTGCTCTAAAATTTCTCATAACATCGCTTATAACCAACTATTGAGTGGATTGTCGACATCTCCCACACACCGTGAGAGAACAAGATTGTTGCAGATGAGCTTGCCAAGATAGCGCCGAGAAGTCATTGTGATTGGATTGAATTTAATGTACCGCCAGAGTGCATTACAGAGTTTTTGAGAAAGGACCGGATGCTATTTGCTTCTGCAGGCACCAGAACTTAGTCTTGCTAGGTTTATCCCACCCCTCTACCCGAAAAAAAAAAAAAACTATTGGGTGACATGAATTAATTGACCATATTAACTTGTTATATGTCAAAGATTAAATCATCCAATGAAAAACGTGTCATGTAAGGTGGGGAAATTAGGAGGATTAAAATTTAGAAAGAAGAGTAGCATTACTATAACTAATAATATAACAATTTTGAACTCTACGGTCATTGTGTACTATTTTTCTCCTGTTGATCAACAAGTTAATTGAAAATTGATTAGATTTAATTATTTATCATTGAAAATGGCTAGTTTTAGTTGGATAATTGATTGTGTTGTGAATATTGAACGAGTGGGGTATGGTTGCTTTGAATTGAGGAGAAAGTAAAGGAATTGGGGTATATATGATATATACCCTTTAATTTGAAGACTTCAAAGTGTGAAATTAAGGTAGGGAAGATGAAGACTTCAAAGTGTGAAATTAAGGTAGGGAAGATGATGCCGCACGGCTTAATTAGCTTACTGGTTCAGTAGGTAGTATTTGAGAGAAAAAATTAATGTTTGAATTTTGACAGCGGTAGTGTAAGAATTATGTTCAAAGTAGACAGATCCCTTATGCGCACCGGCATTTGACCATGTCTGTTGAGCTATTGAGTCACCGTAATTTATATCCTCCCAAATGTTTTGTCGGGCCGGAGTATGCAAGATCCTTGGACTTCCACAAGATCTTAATCAAGTGAATGTGAAGTTTTATTTTATTTTTATATTTTTTCTATTTAAAAGTTGGTGAACTTACAAAAGATGGAGCACATTGTACATGTACATAGAAACATGACATTGCATGTAATACAAATGTAAGCATGATAATTTTAGGTTTTCCTGAGGACCCATTAGTAAAATTAGAGCAGCCCATGTTAATTAATAAATAATTTCATATCTATAAATAAATAAATACAAATTTTCACGAGCTTCCAACTTCATGAACTCATCATGAGACCGAGACAACTAAAATGACAAGAGCAAGTATATATATGAGGTAGTTTAAGTCCAACTTCTGTGGAAACATCAAGCTAGCTAGGATTCATTCAACATTGATTGATTGTTATGCAATTTTGTAACTGAACTGGCTACCTACTTCATTTTCTATGATTTTATTTGTGATTTTCCATCTAATTAGCTACCTAAACATTTGAATTGGTATATTTACAGGCTGATATCTTTAATTTGGATTACATTTCATTTTGGTTTTGTGAAAAGGTTAATTAAATGATGAGGACAGTGAAAGCCCATTTTGAATTGATTAGGGAAAATGACGGTTTTAGTCCATTAGTTATGTCTAAATTGTAGATCAGACTCAACTCATAAATTATTGCTTTATACAATTTTTTTTAAACCACACAATTTCATTAAATCAACTCAAAACCAAGCTAATCGAAATACAACTCGGTGGAACAGAATCCCACACACCAAAGACAACAGAAGAACCAGTCACCTGTGCTAGCACATGAACTACATGATTTGCTGACCTCTTGACATGGGAGACAAGAGTGGTTGCTTAATTTCGATCCATTACTTATAAATTTTGTTAACATTAAAAATTTATTTTGATTTGCCAAATTATTAGAGGACAAATTGGTCATTTTGTAAAATTTTCCCAAGTATACAAGTTCCCAAAAGATTGAATCCCCAACCATAAGGGCTCTCCACGCCCTGACCCGACAGATGGACTGAATCATAAACATTGTTGTTATTAAGTAGGAGCCACCACTTATCGTGATAGACTCAGTTGAAGATACAAGTACTACTATATGCCAATTAATGTCTTAGGAATAAAAGATCTTGGCTGGTGAGGATCAACCAATTGCTACCATTCCATTGCCTCCTACGTTTAATTAGTTTCAATACTCTACAAGCTAAGGTTGATGAAGTCACAACAGATGCTAGCCAATTAGATGTACTTGGTGACTTTAGCATCAAATAATCAATTTCATTATTTCAAGATTGAATGAGTTTGACAATGACATCGATTTCAGTGGAGTAAGTATTATTGTTCTACATAATGTTACGTCGGCTCTGTTGCTCCGTGACAATATGTATGTACGTGGATTACAGATATGTTTATGTAGCAAAAACTTCATAAACTCATAAAATCATAGCAATTTGAAAAATAATTTAACCTAACTTAATTCCAATATAAATTTTTATTTATTTTGCTACGAACATTAATCTATTCACAACATAATTTTTATATTGTGAACATGTTGCTATTCACCTGTAGAAATTTTGATGTTGCGAACAACCGGGCACAAAAATTGCCACAAATATGCTGATATTCGTAGTAAAATAAACAAGTATACATTAACATGAAAAACAAAAATTAAAAAACAAAGTATATGAATATTTATAGAAGTTATGGAATATATTGTAAAGTTTGGCATAAATAGATGTATAGTTTGTCAAAAAAACCTATAAAGAAAGTTGAGAAGTTTTGTGTGGACGCGGGTGGTTAGAAGATTGGATTTCAATTGTTAATATTTTAGAGAAAAAAATTATATAGCTCTTTGCTTTCAAAAAAGTATATAGCTCTTTATGTGACAAATTTTACTATGTATCATGCATCAAAACATATTCACACAATGAGTGAACTTTATGCATACAAATAGTTAATTTTAATTTACTAAATATCATATTTCTAAGTAAAGGGAGTGAGGTATGTCAAATAAATTCAACTATATTCTACAAATAATTAACTTAATGTACAATAGAAATGAGCCTAGCTAGGATTAGAAGAGTAATTCAAAAATCTTATTAATCAGATAACAATTACAATATTAAAAGAGGTGTAAACAACGTAAACCTCTCCTAACTATTAGGCTTGACTAAACCACTTAACTAGAACCATACAAATAATAACATTATTATAAAGACTAATAATAACATTATTGACTCACCCCCTCAAGCTCAAGGTGGGTGTGCAACTACATTGAGCTTGGTGCGCAGAGCTGTAAACCGTGGTCCGGGAAGTGGTTTTGTAAAGATGTCTGCGAGCTGGTCCTTGGTGGAGACAAAGTTAACAACAAACTCACCAGAAGCAACCTTGTCTCGTACAAAATGGAAATCGATCTCAACGTGTTTGGTCTTGGCGTGAAAAACCGGGTTGGCACATAGATAGGTGGCCCCGAGATTGTCACACCACAGAGTCGGTGGTTCACCAGAATGCAGCCCAAGTTCTCGAAGAAGAGAAACAACCCATGTAACCTCAGCCGAGACATCTGCTAAGGCTTTGTATTCCGCCTCAGTTGATGAGCGTGCCACTGTGCGCTGCTTCCGAGAGAGCCAGGAAATGAGGTTACCGCCGAGGAAGACTGCATAGCCGCTGGTGCTCTTCCTGTCGAGTGGGCAGCCAGCCCAGTCGGAGTCGGAAAAAGCATGAATTGTCGAGGAAGCAGAAGGAGTTAAACGTAACCCATAGTGAAGAGTCCCCTTTACATATCGCAGGACTCGCTTCACCAGACCCCAGTGATCATCCGTAGGGGAATGCATATACTGACAAAGTCGGTTCGCAACAAAAGACAGATCTGGACGTGTGATAATGAGATACTGTAGGGCCCCAACAATGCGCCGATACTAAGTTGGGTTGTCATACGGTTGTGACGCGGCAGTGGTAACGTGAGAAACCGCAGCTAGGGTCGTGAGCGGCTTGCATTCTGACATACTTGCTCGGTTTAGGATATCAACCATGTATCGCTTCTATGAAAGAAGATAACCACCGTCTAGAGCCAGAGTTCCAATGCCCAAGAAGAACCCCGGAGTCCCGAGATCCCGAATTTTGAAAGCGGTGGAAAGACGGCGTAGCATCATGTCCAGTAACGATGTATCATTCCCCATCATAATGATGTCGTCAACGTAGACAAGCAAGAAAATCCGTGATGCCCCGGCCGTGTAGTGAAAGAGTGACACATCATTTTTGGACGGCAGAAAGCCTGCAGAAATCAAAAAATCATGCAGCCTCTTGAACCAAGCTCTAGGGGCTTGTTTGAGACCGTAAAGTGAGCGCTGAAGGTGACAAACGTAGTCGGGATGTGAGGAATCCTCGTACCCTGGTGGCTGCTTCATGTACACAGTTTCATCCAGATGGCCATTTAGGAATGCATTATGCACATCTAACTGGCGGAGAGTCCAGCTGTTGGACACCGCTAGAGATAGGAGTAGTCGAACTGTGGTGGGCTTGACTACAGGGCTGAAGGTGTCGAAAAAATCTTCACCGGCTACTTGGTTGAACCCCTTGGCAACCAGGCGAGCCTTGTAGCGCTCTACTGAGCCATCTGCTGTGTGTTTGGTGCGGAACACCCATTTGCACCCAATGATATTCATGTCAGACTTTGGTGGTACAAGCCGCCAAGTGCCATTATGCAGCAAAGCATTGAACTCCTGGTCCATAGCATCCCGCCACTGGGGATGTCCTACGGCCTGTGAGTAACACGTTGGGTCAGTCGTCGTAGTCAGCGCATGGAACTGTTCACCTGTGCCCCGAGTCATGTGTCGCAGTCGCATCACATGCGCTTGAACTGGAGCCGGTTGGCGTTTAGATTTCCGTGTCTTAGCCGGGGCGGTCCTGGAGGGACCCTCAATAGCTAAAGGAGCTGTATCCGGTGAGGAGCCCTGGGCCCGGATGAAGGTGGGGCAACAGCTATGGGCAGTTCCGGTGATGACTGTGTTATTATGGGTCAGGAAGCCCACGGAGCTGGTGGAACAGCCAGATTCGTCTTATCCTGCAATGTTGAGTCTGAAAAAGGAAAGTTAGACTCGTCAAATCGGACATGACGACAGATATACATTTTTCCACTTATTAAGTCCAAGCATCTATACCCTCTATAGGAAGGTGGGTAACCTAGGAAGACACATGGAGTTGAGCGGTACTCGATTTTGTGTTTGTTATAGGGACGAAGGTACGGGTAACACCGACACCCAAATACTCTTAGAAACGTGTATGGTGGTGACACTTTGTGTAATCGGTAATAAGGACTTTCAAAGTTTAAGGCTGACGAGGGTAGATAATTTATGAGATTTGTGGCTGTTTCGAAGGCATAGTCCCAGTATTGCATAGGGACTGAACCTTCGGCAAGTAAAGCTAACCCGGTTTCGACAACATGTCTGTTCTGGCGCTCAACTCGGCCATTTTGCTCATGTGTGTAAGCACATGATTGTCTGTGATTAATGCCCAGAGATTGGAAAGTTTTGTGTAGTTTTTGATACTCCCCCCCAAGTCGGACTGAATAGATTTGATAGAACGCGTGAATTGGCGTTCTACCATGACTCGAAACGACTCAAACACTTTATAAATATCTGATTTCACCCGTAAGGGATAAAACCAGCAAAACCGAGTACAATCATCTACAAAGAGTACGAAATATTTAAAACCACTACTCGAAAAGACTGGAGCTGGGCCCCAAATGTCCGTATATAATAAATCGAGTACATTTTGACTAGAATTTTATACTCTATTTAAAGGAAACCGTGACGCCTTTCCCATATGACAAGCAGTGCACGACCCCAATGACTCGGTTTTATTGCGAATGACTGGACAGGCTTGCAACACTTTATTAAGGACTTGACTGTGAGGATGGCCCAACCGACGATGCCACATCACTGGAGTGGCCCGGGAACTAAGGAATGCGAAGTGGGATTGTGATAGCGGGAGCTTATAGAGTCCACCCGAGGTAGGTCCTTTAAGTAGAACTGCCTGTGTGATCGAATCCTTCACAATGAAACAGTGTTTATGAAATTCAAAGAAAACATCATTTTCGTTAGTAAATCTTTGAACTGACAATAACGGAACGGACAGATTAGGTACATGTAACACATTTGACAACTTTAATGGTTTGGACATAGAAGGAATAGACGCGGACCCAATATGTGAAATATGCAAACATGTGCCATTACCGACTCGTAGCACGTCCCCGCCATTGTACTCCGACGATTGCGATAGCATTGACGCATCCGGGGTGGCGTGAGCGGAAGCCTTGGTGTCCGGGAACCACGAACCAGTGGACGACGCCACATCATCACCAGCCACTGTCAGATTTGCCTGGGGCGCAGGCTGTGAGTTGTAACGTTTGTTACAATTAAGAGCAGAATGCCCGTGAGCTCTGCAGATTTGGCATCTCACCTGTCCACCATCACCACGTCCTCCACGTCCACCACGCCACTGGCCTCCCCGACTGCCACGATTGCCGCGCCCACCACCGGAATTACCGCGACGTCCTCCAGCGCCACCCCCTGACTGATTACTGCCCTGCGCAACATAGAGTGCCGCAGGAGATCCGCCACCAGTGAGACCGGGAGAAAGGTCATCTGCCGCAATAAACTCTTGCGCCTGCAAGAAGTCAGCGAGTTGGGGTAACGTAACCGGATTGCCGGAAACCGTGAGGGAATACGCCATGCTCCTGAATTCTGGCCGGAGACCTCGGAAAACCCAGAGGTTTTGTTCGTCCAATGATAGCGGACGTCCGGCGAGTGAGAGAGCCTCCACAATAAGCTGGGCTTGGCCGATGTAGTCCGCCGGGGAGAGGTTGCCTTGCCTCAAAGATTGAAACTGCCCAAGCAGATTCAAACAGCGAGCTCTCGAACTGGATCCCAATGCAGTGGTGATGGAGTCTCATACTTCCTTCGACGTATTGCGGCTAACAGCAAGATGTAATACTTCGTCGGCCATGGATGAAACCAAGAGCGACAGAATAGACGTGTCTTGCCGCACCCACGTCTTGAACTCAGGATTGGGCACACGAACGGAATTGGCAACATCGGAGGTGGAAGATTCTGCCGGAACGCTGGCGATCGTCGGCGACGGGCAGGGGGTCTCGCCGGTGATAAACCCGAGCAGTTCTTGGCCCCGTAAGAACGGAACCAATTGTGTGCGCCAGAATAAAAAGTTCCGGGATGTTAGTTTAATTGACACAAAGTGATGTGCCGAGGAGAGAGGATTTGATGTGGTGGCCGGAGCCGGGACGGAGGTGGTGATTGTTCTTTCCGACGAGTTCGTCGACATTTTGGGGTGAGGGGAGAGAAAACGGGAGAATCGAACGTAAGACTAACTGATACCAGATTAGAAGAGTAATTCAAAAATCTTATTAATCAGATAACAATTACAATATTAAAAGAGGTGTAAACAACGTAAACCTCTCCTAACTATTAGGCTTGACTAAACCACTTAACTAGAACCATACAAATAATAACATTATTATAAAGACTAATAATAACATTATTGACAGCTAGAATATACCTGGTTAAATAATCAATCTTCAAAATTAGATTGTTGTACCTGTTCAAATAATGAACCATATGCACACAAATAGTGAACCTTATACATATAAATAATGAGCCATCAAGGTATTTTCTTATTATTTTGTGCACATTCAAATAATAAATATTACATATAAAAATAATGCACCATATGCATAGAAAATAATGTATTCTATGCATAGTTCACTTAATAAATATTATATTTATGTCCTTTTTATTTTCTACTCACGTGTGTGAATGGAAAATAATGTGTATTTTTAAAGAAATAAAATTCCAGTGACATGTTTTAATTTTATTAGTAAAAGAATACAACACATTAAAAAGTAGAAGCCAATTGTCACAACATTATTCACCACTCAAGTTAACATCTCGTTCAATTCATTTATTTTTTTATTAAATTTAGATACACAAGGCACTCTACACTGTACCTTTGAATGCATGCAATAATCTTCTCAATTATTCTCTTTTTCAAGTTCAATTTGTACTGCACAACCTAATAGGTACAAATCAAACCCATTATGCCAAGTTGCACAAAACCATTGCATGTTTTGTTGACCTCAAGTTTTTGTGGGCCATTTTCTATCTCAATCAACTTCTCCTATATATAAAAGGGGATTCACCCATGGCCCAACCATAATTTAGTTTTATATTTAAAAAGTTTATGTTGAAACCATATTCAATTAAACAAAGGATCGGAGATCGAAAACTTTGAATAAGATGCCGCAATTGAGGACTTCTAATCTTGATATTTTGTTTCAAATTAAGGTCACATCTAGAAGATGAAAACAAGAAAATTTAGGTAATCAAGTTTTGATTAATTTGTCATTTACAAGTATGATAGTGATACATATTACATAAATATATTTATCGAGCGATGATGTGGCGTCACTCTTGAACTAGTTAAAGTTGTGTTTGTGTGTGAATAAGTTTTTCTGGCTGTATTCAAGAGGTTTTCACCGTCAAAGGCAGTGATTAATTCCCTCGTTGAATTGTATGCAGCTCTAGAAAGTGGTACAGATGACCTGAAAATGATAACAAGTTATATGGGTTTATATGCCAAAATGTTGAGGCGAGCAAGGTGGCCATGTCGGAAAATACAGCGATGCCACCATGTCGTTGAAATCATCGTCGTCACCATCAAAACTGTCTAAAAATACTAGGTTATTATGGTTTGAATCATCGTCATCCTTTTGTGGCTGAGCATGATTGTTGTTATTGTTGTTGGGAGAATCTTCCAGTCCAAGTTCATTTTCCAAGTATCTCAACCACTCCACTTGTTTGTCAATTTCTCCTGATCCACAACTTGACCCTGTAGGTTGGAGATCAACGACAATTTCCGGATCCTGCGGCGATGGGTCGTCCAAGGTGTCCAACATGTCCCGCCAAATCTCCATGTCGATGACGCTGTCGTTGTCGCCGCCGGGAGTCGGCGGCTCCGGCGGGGCTTCCGTCGTGGCTTGGTCGTCCTTGGTTGATGAAGATGATGATGATGAAGATGTGGGGGAGGCGTCTAATGATGCATCTTTTTGTGGTGGAGTGTCGGGGGAAACGGTGTCGTTTTTGGGGCCTTCATCATCCTCCTCGTCGTCATCATCATCAGTAGTGTTGTTGCTTCTTCCCTTTCCTTTTTTGTTCATCAATCTTTTCTTCAAGTGTGTATTCCATACGTTCTTAATCTCGTTGTCTGTTCTTCCTGGGAAATGTGCTGCAATTTTCGACCACCTGTATATATTACATGTTCATCATCATCATCATCATCAATGTTATATATAACTCATGATTATTAAAGGAAAAATAACATTTTTCTACCCGAGAATGTGTACTAGGTAAACCTCATCTTGTGACCGTAACTGAGAAATGGCCATATAAACCAGCTAGTAAACTAGCCTAAGTTGTCTATAGCTGACTGGCTCAAACCAGCATAAGTTGGCAATTTATATCATAGACCAGAGTTCACATAGTATTATGGATCATGGATTGAAACAATGAGGTACAGAATTTCATAACTCAAAATATAAAAAATCACAACACAAGACACATAACATAACATTATGGACCCAACTGGATTGAAAATACGAGGTACAGAATTTCATAACACAAGATATAAAAAATCATAACACAAGACACATACACATGTTATATATTTACTTATTTTTCAAATATGATTTAAGTACATAATTTGTGTTTATCACTACTGGAAATTATGGAATTTCCGACCACCTGAAAGTGATCTTAAATTAAGTTGATACCAAAAAGTGGTCGGAAATAGCAACAAAAGTTTTTCCGGATACCAAAAGTGGTCGGAACAAGGCTTTTGACTTGATTTAATATCACTTTCAGGTGGTCGGAAATTCCATAATTTCAAGTAGTGTATAGACACAAAATTTCACAACATAAGACACATAAATTCATAACATAAGACGCAATTACTAATTTATTCCAGGTACAGAATTAATACTCATAAGGTACAAAATTTCATAATACAAGACACAAAAAGTCCTAACACAAAACACAAACACATGAACCAGGGTCTATAGTGCAGTGTGAACCCTGGTCCATGGTATGACGATGGGCCTAAGTTGCTTATAATTGACCGACTCAAACCAATATGTCGTTTTTATTGGGAGTCAAACTTGAAACTCTGTAATTACCAAATCAACATTCTAACCAACTTGATTGGATTTACCCTAAAATGACTAATTTGATCAATAAATCTCTAGTGGTAAGAATGTTATTGAAAAATTTGACAAATAATGCAAAAGGTCCAAAAAACATATGGGACAAATTTGACAAAAAGGACATGGCATAGGAGGAGCTAGCTAGTCAAATTGATATATTTGTCGGAGTGTAGATAAATACAATTCTACAATGTAATGTTTAGATATTAAGACCTACATATAAAGATAAAGATACTATATATATAATCCTAAAATTTAAAGAAATATCTAAAAAAACAAAAAAGAAGTAACCAACCATGATGTAAATTAGTAAAATTACACTTGAAGCTAAAGAAACAAATTTATATATAGGTAAAAAAGGGAATTGTAGTAAATTAATAAAAGGAAGAATTAATAATATTATCGTACTTGTTTCCCAAAGAGTTGTGAAGTTTGATAATGGTTTCCTCTTCTTCAGGCGTGAAATTCCCCCGCTTTACGTCAGGTCTTAGGTAATTTATCCACCTCAAACGGCAACTCTTTCCACATCGCAATAATCCTACCACATAACGTAACACAATCATCAAATTAATTAAAACGAAAAAAATTATATTTATAATTCATTTTTTGGGAGGAAAACAGAATCACCATCCGAGGGTATACACTGTATAAATGGATAAATTATATATGGTGAGCCTATTCAGCAAATGACCACAAAGAGATAAATCAATCTAAGTTATCCATAATTGACCAACTCAAACCAAGAAAGTCACTAGTCTGTTCCCACTGAGGTTATAATTGAAGCATTAAACATGTCATTTTCCTTTTAAAAAAATAAAAAGAAAGCAAACAACTACAAAAATTGTTTAATCTATGTTGACTTGAGTGTTTTACTACATATGTATAAATAATAACCGTGCAATCTAACTACCAACTTAGTCTTTTAATTGAGATAAAACACTTGTGATATCAGAAATGATCAACCAGATACAAAAAAAAAAAGTTGTGATATCAGCTTAGTCTTTTAATTAGTGTTCTTCTCCCAAAAGGTTGAATCGCTAGCGCCAAGGGCCCCCCACACCCCGCCTTGATAGAGCATTTGGGAAGATGTAAATCAATAAATTATGGTGACTCAATGACTCAACAGACATGGTCAAATACTGGTATGCACAAGAGATCTGTCCACTTTAAGCATAATCTAACACAACCACTCTCGAGGTTCGAGTCTTGATCTCTTCTCTCAAATATTGTCTATTGAATCAGTGAATTAAGTTGGTGCTGACATGTATTAATAATTAGTCCATGCCATGAGGGAATTTGCGGTTCAAATTAAACCGAATAATTAGAAAACAGAGCAATTAATGAGTTAATGGTGGGCATGATTCAGGCTTGCTAAAACATGGTCGGTAAACAATTATCCACTAACAATGACAACCTACTTAATTACCTACTCTCTTTCATCGTCATGATTTTCTATGTGGTGGACCAGTTATGACTTCTGCTTAGCTAAACTTAGGTACGATGTCCACTTTCGACATCCACTTGAATTTGTCCAATTGTTTTACAAAGTCTACCTCTAGAATTGTAAAGGATGACTTATTATCTTGTGGATATTACAACTTGACTAATTAAGTTCCCAAATATCAAAATTGAATGGCCCGCATTTTGGTCAGCATGTCATTAATATATTAATTTACTGATATTTTTTAAGGTATCGTGTAATACGATGCAATATTTATAATTGAAAGTATTGATTTTTATAAATTAACGGCAGTACTTATAAGAAATTTAACAATAAGGGAAGACCAAAAAATAAAATAAATTAAAGATACATTTTTAATTGAGACTAGATCAGAGCAACATGCATGCTATATGAAATCCAAAATATTTACATATTTATCCCTTAATTGTTCCTTAATAGTTGTTTTAGTCCCTATATTTTTACCATTACAATATATGCCCTAACTCTTCAAAAAAGTTATAGTTTTGATTCTCCTAAATCAACAAAATTACTAAATTCTATTAAAATAGTAATTAGTACATGTGTATTTTAGTATTTTTTTTTAATTATAATCTTCTTTAGTCTCAATTTTTTATATGTAAAATAATAACTTGATTTTAGCAGGCCCGTGTAGAGAAAATAGTGACGATATACGCCAATTGAAGAAGAAATTTTAAGGAAGAATGTTGTCAATTCTCTCTTTTGCCGATGAATTGAAATGCCAAAACTTAAAAAGTTATAAAGATTAAAGATTATAAATTTTAAAACAAATCTGTGTTAAGTATTATTTTAATAGAGTTTAATAAATTTGTTGATGCAGAGGTTAAAATCGTAACCTTTTTAAAGAGTTAAGGGTGCATGTTGCAATAATAAAAAAATTGAGATTAAAACGCTAGCAAGAAATACTCGAGGGATTAAAATTTCATTTTCCCTATTTATTATTCTATATATCCAAAGAGAAAAAGTAATCTAAAAACCTTCCTTAAAATTATAAGAGAATTGAATTCAAAGGCAGGCATGCATTGTATATGAAAACATGTTGAACTAACATTAGAAAATTAATAGATTAGTGTCTCAATTAGAATGACAAATGTCAAAACAGTAAAGTACTGTATCATCAATATTTAAACCGCAATTAACTCAAATAACCTTTAAAGAACTGTCCTTTGCCCGCTAAAGTAACAAGATTAGGTTTACCCAGTAATCCAGCATACACCTTAATAGTAGATGCGAGTTTCCCTCGTCATTAAAAAAAAATAAATCCTTAAAACACTGTAAAATGGATAAAGGTACATACCAGCCTGCTTGGGGAGGGCACGCCAGTTGGGATGGCCATGCTTCTGAATGAAAGAAATAAGCCTCAAATCCTCGGCCGGACTCCATGGCCCCTTCTTCACCTTACTCTTATCACAACATGGAGCTCTCCCTTTACCCATCTCTCTCTCTCTCTCTATATCTATTTGTATGTATATCTCTCTAACTCTAAAATTCCATATCTTTAATATCAATTCCTAGTTAGTGTGTTCTTACCTAGGATGTGCCCATGCGGCCTGTGCTACCTGCTATATATAGCATGTAGGCATTTGGGATTTGTGAGGTTGGATGGAGAAATACAAGGTTGTCCTACTTACGTAAGTAACTAAACAATTTGAAAGAAAAAAATTATTATTATTTAATTAGGTAGACATAGAGTTATAGACTTTTGTTTCAACGAATGGGTTTGATTGGTATTATCTCATATGGTTTGGTAGAGTTTCCTACTCCCTTTAGAAAATGTGTCCCATTGTTGCCAAGTGCCGTTCTCACCCAACTTTAATTATTAGATATATAGATTCACTTTGGTGATCCGTAGGTATATACTATATAAGGAGAAAACAAAAAAACCTTTTCATTTTACTACATCAGCATGGGTGAGATATTGCAACCCTTCAATTCGCCCCTTTAATTTGAGCTTTGAAAATGCGGTTTTTGTTCTCTCTTGATAATGGAATTAATATTTGCTCCATATAAATTATGTTTGGCATGCCTAAATTTTACAAACAACAAAATGAGAAGGAATAAAAATAAAATAAAGAATACACAAGAAAAAGGAATATAATATAAAAGGATGGAAATGAAAATGTGAAAAGAAGATGATGAAAAACGTGCATGCAGTTAACATATTTTGTATTTGTAATTAATAATTTATATGTTTGTAGTTATCATGTTATGTGTCTGTAATTATCATGTGATGTGTCATAAGACCACTTAGACTAGAAGACAAGCACAAGCAAATGACACTTCACCCAATCACATTGGAAATGAGCATGTTAGGAATCTCTTTGCACGTGTACATATCATCAATTTCTTCAACTTACCCGATGTATGCCCGATACATGTCGAGCCCTCGGCATGTGTCCCCATCTAGCTCTCTATATAAGGCGCATTTAATATCTTGAGGATGGACTTTTGGACCTTCACTGAACCCATGCATACTTGCGCGGGAAGGTCTGACCTATTGTCACGGTTGTTTGAGCTCATATATTCGCATTTTTTAGTCTACTTAGGCCAATTCATATATCTTGATGTATTAACCACATTAGAACTGAATGAAAATTTTTAAGTCTAAAAGAGTAAAACGAATTGGGGAATAAATTTCCTAAGTCTTTTGGTATCATAAAAATCTAATTTACACTTGTTCCTAATATCAAGTATTCTTATTCTACATAATGTTGGTTGTCATGGTTTATAAGAATTGGGTGTCATGAATTAAGACCCCACTAACTTATTATCAAAGACTAAATCATCAAATGAAAAGTGTCATGTCAAGAGGGAGATTACATACTCATATATTATGTACAATAATGTACAATTATACTATTATAGTAATACATACAAAATTATTAATACCATAATGACCTAAATAATTCCCAATAATGCAAAAAAAAAAAAACATAATTAAAATATTGAGTCATTTTCTAAATAATAATAAAAAAAATAATTAAACGAAAAAAAAACAAAACAAAACAAAACTTAACCGAGATTTAAAATAGAAATGTAAGAAAATAATTTTCAAGGTTTCTTATTTGTAATTTTTTATACCCAACGAACTTTGAATGCTATGTATATAGTCTGACTAATTAATTGACCAAAGTTCATGTTAAGTTTTGTATTGTATTTTTTTTTTAATATACTCTAACATATTCATAGTATATGTTCAACAATTATGCCAACTCTGGTTGGGTTAAGATTCGAACCTAATACATTCTTTATGGAAATCAATGAGTAAATTAAGAATAATAAATGGTGAGCGAATAACCAAAATGGTCATCGACTATAATGGTTTTTCTCAATTTCGTCCCAAACGACTTTTGTGACCTAATGTAGTCCTAGAGTTTTGTGTTTTTGCTCAATTTAGTCCCAAACTTTTGTGTTTTTTGCTCAATTTAATTAGTCATCGGTTTTTTATTCCGTCCATTTGGTATTAAATAGATAGACAATTCAGTAATTTCAATATTGGCATATCTTTATTCCTAGACCTGCGAAGTGCGAAATTCCTTCTTTTTTTTTTTTTTTTTTTTTTTTTTTTTTTTTTTTTAACGAATTACTCCTAAACCTGCGAGTATAAAATTTGATTCGTAGGTATGGGAGTAATTCACACAAGAAAGAGGGATTTCGCACTTCGAAAGTAAAGAGAGGTCAATATTGAGATTACTGAATTGTCTCTTTATTTAATGCCAATTTGACGGAATAAAAAACGGAGGACTAAATTGAGCGAAACACAAAAGTTTGGGACTACATTAGGTCACCAAAGTTGTTTAGGGTGAAATTGAGAAAAACCACTATAGTCGATGACCATTTTGAGTATTAACTCAATGAATAGTTAACAGAATATTCTGTTACTAAAGTTTACACGGACAAAATGTGGGGGTATTTAGGAAAAGTAAATGATATAATAGATGTTAAAGTAAGAAAAAAAAATACTAAAATCAAAATAATATAAACCATTCATTTTATCAAACAATTGGACCAATATTTTTTAGTTCCTATTATAAGCCTAACGTTATTGACTCTTATTAGATTATTATTATTATTAGTAGATAAAAATGAAAGCTATTATTTTTTAATATTCATCCTAAAATAATATGATTGTCATATTATAATTATTCTAAGAATATGTACGTTGTCTGATTTTCTCTTTACTTAAATCAAACATTATTTGTTTTAGCACAACTTTTAATTTTTTATTCAAAATTTATATTGCTTTAATTAAAATATATATTTTATTAGAGTTAATACCTCCAATGGTCATCCAAGTATTAGCGATTTACCAGCTGTGGTCATCCGAGTTTTAAGTGACCTCCAATGGTCCTCTATGTTTAAAAAAAAAAACACTCGTGGTCCTAATTCTTAAAAAAATTCGAGTTTAAAATGACCACGAGACATCCTAAAAGGACCACAGGTGGTTATTTTTTAAAACATGGAGGACTATTGGAGGTCATTTAAAACTCGGATAACCACAATTGGTAAATCGCTAATATTCGGAGGAGCATTGGAGGTATTAACTCTATTTTATTATAAGCTGATCTACTATGTATGCGGAAATTTCTCTCTCTCTCTCTCTCTCTCTCTCTAGAATTTAAATGCAACAATTTCATCATCTAATCAATCTTATGGAAAAAAATAATAATATTTCAATATATCGATGAGAGTTTACAAGATGAATAATTCACAAATAATAACAATTGAGGTCCCAATCATATACTATTTAATTACTATTCGACGAAATCAATAAGTCTATTATAGTCATGTCACTTTTAATAAAAAGTAATTTAAGTTTTACATACTACTCATCAATATTGCATTAAGAAGACTTAATCATATTTAATATGAAAATTTCTAGGACATTATTTTTATTATCAATTATTATCATCTACATTAATACCCACCTTTACTACTACTTTTATTATAAGTTGAAAATATTCATTTTGATTATATTGAAAATAATTATTTTTATTTGATTCTATTATTCTCCTAATAATTTTCACCACCTTACATTACAATATTTTATTGACTTCTTTTATATTTGATTATTAGCCCTTTTTAGCATTGAGTGTAGTTGGCCAATTCATGTTAATTAGTGAATAAAAAAAGTATTACCACATCAGGAGATGAATATTACGAAATAAAATCTTAAGAAAAAAATAGCATTCATATTTTAATATTCTCATATCTTCTTTATATATTTCTAGACTAAATATATAACTATTTTCTAAATAAATTTTAGAAATGATGGTAAGAATCTTAGAAACTATTTTACTTTCAAAACATTTATATATATTTTTAGTCACTTAAAAATTAAATGATCAAAAATATAATTTTCTCATTAAATAAAATCTGCATGCATGCCCTGGGCATAACCCACATCATCTCATTTTTTGTCACTTGAGCATGTCAACTGATGGAGATTATATAACTCCACAAAAAATTATTGAGAAGAATATCATATCATTTCAATCGGGCCATGCCATGTCATGGCCAACCCCATGATCCATGCAATCTCTAATATTACAATTTATAAAATGCTTTTATAAAATGCATTATGAGCTTCAAGAAATTGTTGTTGTTGTTGTTATTATTATTATTATTATCTATTTCCTTACTAATGAAGTAGAATCATTTAAGACAAGATAATTTGTAATTTATTACTAGTAGGTCCAATATAATTTACGTCTTTTAAGTTCTTAATATTGTTTACATTTATAATTTATTAAAGAAGTCTTTTTTCTACACACCATGAACTCGTCTAGGCCAAATAAAGAAGATACAAATTGAGTCAATCTAACTTCAAAATTCAATTGGTCAAACTGTATATAAACTTCTGAGCACAAAGAGTCCAATCAAAACCCAAACCTCCAATATTCAATTGTTATATTGTGGACCAAGGTCCACCACGCGCATTAGGTTAACCGTGGTTGATGGCATAATTTGCTCTTAATGTTTGTGGTAGGAATTGAATCTCTACACTGGTGTTGGAAGTAAGTCTTAAGTGAAGTTTATCATCAACTAGACAAATTAAATGACCTAGAGGCAATTTTTTTTTTTAAATATGTATATAAATAGATATCATTTTTATTATTATTTGCTAACCATTTTTTTTTTTTATACTATGACTATTATCCATACCTAGTTATTTGTAATTATTTTAGATATTATTTTAAGGAACAAGCTATATGGACCAAAATTTTTCAGAAAATCATTTACCATTTGACATGATAATATATTATTCGTATTTGGTTAACAGGTAAACTCAAATTTTTAACGTGTGACAAGGTGAATTATTTCATAATAACCAATAAATAAAAATAATTTTATTGCCATGCACGTCATATGGTGAAATATTCTAGTGAATTTTTTTAGCCATGGTAGCTTTAACCCTATTTTAATGCAATTAATTTTTTAGCCTATTTGCAAGTATCTTATCAAGAAGGAACTAGGCACCATGCATGTCTGATTTTGTTGAAGAGCATTGAACTCTTGATCTATTGCCTCATGCCACTCGTTATACTTAATTGTCTGTGTATAACAAGTGGGCTTAGTAGGACAAACCCGTGGAGTTAGGACCGCATGACGAGCACGAGACCGACTCCTAGTGGTCATGACATGAGTTTGTGTGGTTGGCTTTATAGAGCGGGCACGTAGACAGCCACGTACCCGTGTAGTAACTGCCACAGGAGCAGTCGAAACCTGCTGTACAGAGTCCATAGGTACAACTGAAGTGTCATGATATGTCTGCAAAACAGATTCAGCCCAAGGATGAACTTGTGGAACTGGAGGTGCCTGCAAAACAATCTTAGTAATAAAGAGAAAAACTACCTCATCAAACCGTACATACTTGCAAATATATATCTTATTAGTCTGCAAGTCCATGCGTAAATACCCCCGAAAAGAGTCAGGATAACCTAAAAAGACACAAGGAGATGATCTGTAGGACATTTTATGACGATTGTAAGGTATCAGGTGAGAATATCATAGACAACCAAAGACACGAAGAAAAGAATAAGACAGAGGAGATTTATGCAGCATAAGATGAGGACTGGAATTATTCAAGACACTGGATGGCATTCTGTTTATCAAATAAATAGCAGTTTCAAAGGCAAAATCTCAAAACCTAGATGGAACGTAACAGAGGCACGAGCCAAGAGAGTTAATCTAGTTTCAACAATATGCCTATGTTTTCTTTCAACACGACCATTCTGTTAATGAGTATAGACACAAGATTGTCTATGATTAATACCTAATTACAGAAATAAAGAATATAACTTTTTATACTCAGCACCCAAATCAGACTGTATACCTTTTATTTTACGAGAAAAGGAGCGCCCGACCATGACACGGAAACGCTAAAAAATATCATATAGATCATATTTTAAGCGCATTGGAAAAAACCATGTAAAATGATAGTGGTCATCCACAAATATAACAAAGTTACGATGTCCACTAGAGGAAAGAATTGGAGCAGGACCCCAAATATCAGTGTAAACTAGATCAAGAATGCCAGAACTAGAGGACTCAACACGTGGCAAGGGAAAACGCGCAGATTTTCCCAACTAGCATCCAGAACACAACGAGGTATCACTAAGAGACTTACTAGACCCACTAACCAAACAAGACTACAAGACACGACTAAGAACATGCTGATGGGGATGACCAAGATGGTTGTGGCAGACTGAAGCATAGGCTCGTGCTGACAGGAACGCAGATGGAGTAGAACGAGACACTGGCAAGGTGGCGATATTGCCATGAAATAGCACCGCCTTGGTAGCAATATCTTTCACAACAAAGAAAGAAGGGTGAAATTCAAAGAATACTTCATTATCAGAAGCAAAACGCTGAACAGAAAGTAAAGAGGCAGACAAGTCCGGGACATGCAAAATATTAAACATCTTAACAGAACTAGAAAGGGTATCAAAAGTAGCATGACCAGCACGACTAATAAATAGGTCCATACCATGACCAACACGTAAAGTGTCATTACCAGTGTACTTCTCTGAGGTAGAAGCTTCTCCGAGGTAGAAAGGGCAGCTATGTCTGGAGTTTGCATGATTTGTGGTTCCAGTGTCTGGAACCCAAGTATGAGAATTTGATGAGGTTTTAGCACCCAAACCATCCTGAAACACCAAATTACTCTGGGAACACAGAGCTCCTAAATTACGCCGAAAACAATTGGCTCACATGTGACCGAAACCATTACAAATTTGATACTGAACATCAAAATGCCGAAAATAATTGGCTCCCGTGTGCTCGAAATCATTACAAATTTGACATGAACATCAAAGCGCCGAAAGTGATTGGCTCCCGTGTGACTGACACCATCACAAATTTGACACTAAACATTAAAGTCACGTCTGCCACGCTGCGACATTTGTGTGATCGAGTCTGAATCAACACGGCTGGAGGAACTTCGCTTTACATTGGTGACCTGGACGCGAACGTGTTGGACTCGCACTGGAATTAATGCCTGAGTGCTGCCGACCTGGAGAACTGCCACCGCCGAAGAGACGGTGGTCAAAATGCAGCAGAATAAGTTTTCGGTCCAAGAATTTGGCTCTGGCGAGATGCGAATAGCACTGTACTTAAATTCTTAAAATCCTCCGACGTAAAAAATAATGTAAATTCATATTCACATCAATACAAAGCATAGTTTCACATTCTGGGCGATGACTTTCATGCAATTCGTCTATGGATCTAATTGGGAAGGAAATTAAACCTTTGGAAAAAAATCCTAACTCAGATTTACAGATGAGAACGAATGAATTGTATTGATTAAACTTGATTATAAAATACATGATACAAGAATATATATAGTGTGTGAAGATTATGATAGAGAATCATAATCTAACTCAAATAAAGTCATTAAGTATAATTTAAGTAGGAGTTTGAATTTTCAGTAAGTATTTGTTAGTTATTAGGATCATGTTGGAGCATAGCCTTAGAGGGTCACCTAGCATTCTATTATTAAAATGTGGCATTAATTATTACGGAGTATATAAGTATTCAATATTTTAATCTAAACTTAATTAATTTGAAAAAAGACAAATAAAATAAAATCAAAATGATAGGTAAACATCGAAAGTGATGGCATGTAGTTGTGGTCTTGTACCGCCTTGGGGCTCTTGAAGACCCGCCCCCAGTTTTGGACTCATCACTCATGGTTTTACGATACAAATCTTCTCATCATTCCCATTTAGCATTCTCATTTTTCTATCTTTTCCTTAGCTTCAAAATTCTTGGAGTAATTTAATATTTTCTCGATATTACCCATATCAAAATTTACTATGAGATTGTCTAACAAATCTTCTATAAAATGGATCAAGTTTTCTATTAGGATTACAATTACTCTCATAAGTAATTATTCAATTGTTATAAATATTACATTTTAATTTAAAAGTACTATATTTTTTTATAAACACATTATTCCTGAGTAGTACAGAGTATAACTTTTTACAGTATAAATATTACATTTTTATATTAACCAATCCGTCTTACGAACAACGATCTGTGAGACAGTTTCGCACAAATTTCTGTTTTTTTTTTTTTTTTTTTTTTTTTTAAATTATATGATATAACGAATTGAATTTT